TCATGTCATGGTCGGAGTCCCATGCCGGCATCACCAGCAGCGTCCCCACTGCTTGCCTCCTCCCCTCTGCTTCATTCCCCCCTCCACTTCCCCTTTCCGCGCCTCCTTCTTCTCCCCCCACCACTCCCGCTCCTCCTGCTGCTGCCTCATGCTCCGCCCAAGACCTAGCATCCGTCCCGTTATTAGCCTCTGCACCGTCGTCCTCACAGCGCCGCTCGATGCTGTAGTGCTGGCGTGGCGGCGCGGCGATGCCATCTCCGCTTCTGGAAGCGCGGAAGGCCAGGCGGAGATGATCGATGAGCGCTGGGGAGGGGAGACGGGTGGCATGAGGGGCGGGAAAGGGGAGAGGACGGCGATTAGGGGGTTGATGGATGCGCGAAAGGCCTGGCTGAGATGATCGATGAGCGCTGGGGAATGGGGAGTTGGGTGGTATGAGAGGCGGAAGGACAGAGAAAGGCGGGAGACAAAGGGGGCGGGGGGGAGTGGGGACGCGCGGAAGGCCTGGCGGAGATGATAGATCAGCGCTGGGGAATGGGGGAGTTGGGTGGTATGAGGGGCTGAAGGGCAAAAGGAAGGGGGGAGACAAAGGGGTGAGGGGGTGGGGGACGCGGAAGGCCTGGCGGAGATGACCGATGAGCGCGGGAGACGAAGGAGGGGGGAAAGGGGCGGAAGGAACGGGGGCCGAGGAGGCTCACCGAACTGATACCATTTTTGAGGCGCCTCAAATCCGTCTCTAGTCATCGTTCGCTCACCATCGTACGGCAGCGCGCTGTGCACTTCCTCCGCACTGAAAACCCTCATGACGGCTCTTGCTGTCGCCGTCGACCGCGCTCGTGTAAGGCGCGCAGCGCTGCGACTTCCGCCACCGCGTCTCGCGGTAACTCGGGTATCACATACGGGAAGGCGGGTCGCGACGCGCCATGGATAGAGTGGCGTAGCTTGCATAGCGTGCTGGCACGAGCTGTGGGCGTGGTGCAGGGGTGAGGAATAAAGCGCCAGCATGCTTGGTGGGGAATTGTACCCGCTTCAGCGTGCTCCGTCAAGCGATTTGACGAGGCCGAGTTGGATACACTTTTTCCTACAAAAGGAGCACGTATTATAATGGGTTTAGGCCTTGTATGCAAAGAAGATGTCATGTCATGGTCGCGTGTGTGCGCAAATAGAACTGAACATGCTGAACCCATCCATGAGCGTTGACAAACAAAAAGACTCGTTTCTTCGGATGTTACACTAGGCATGCCACCATTTACCAATAGCTCATCCCTTCATTTCAACCCCTCTTTTTTCTACAGCTTCTATCTCGCCTTGCCTCCTCCCTTTTCCCAAATCCCCTCATGTCCTTCCCATTCTCCATTTCCTACGCTTTCACCTTTCGCCTCATCACCATACGCCCCTTCCGCCTTTCTTCCTCTGCTGTCCGCCCTTCACTTCTTTCCAGGACATCGACATATACCCCTGACCCATCCAATTGAGGTGACTTTTGAGTCGACTCAAAAGTGACATCGACATATACCCCCTGACCCATCCCACTCAACTCCGCATCTCCTGACAAGGAAAAACCCTTGCCGTTTTGGCTTGAAATTAGTGGAGAATCCCAGAGGTAACACCATTCCCATCCAGCGCTGGCAGTTCACGAAGAGATAACGGCATGTGTGCCGGTGCATGCAGATGTGGAGCAGTTGGAGCAGTTAGCGATTGAACGGGCCCGCAGCTGCTCCAAGTTGCTCTGCTGCTGATCCCCAGTCCAGGGCCACAGCCCCTTCCTCATCCTGGAAACCTCATGCTATCCTTCCCTCTCCCTGCTCGCCCCTTTCACTCCCAGCATCCCCTCCCTGCCCTCCCTTCCTCCCTCCTCCCCCTCAACTCCACAACCCCCTCCCACTCCTCCCCATCACTGCCTTCCTCTTCCTGGCATTCCTCTGCTTCCTCCTCATCCTCCTCATCCGCCTCTCCCTCATCCTCCTCATCCCACTTCCTCTGATCCCTCATCCTCCTCGTCCCATTCCTCCTCAAATTCCTCTTCCTCCTCAAATTCATCATGCTCACTGCTCATCACCCCCCCCAGCTCCTCTCTACCGTCCCCCTCGTCATCACTGTCGCCCTCCTCCGCCACTTGCCAGCACCTCTCCTCCCATCGATCCAACAACTCCTCACGTGCCTCCCCGTCCCCCACATAAGCGGACCCATAAACAATCATACTCCGTGCCGTCGAGAGCAGAGGGCATTTTTGGATCAAGAACCCAGGCAGCGATGGCATGTCTCGGAGACACGGTGGTAATTTATCCAGCCAATAGCAGTGGGAGATTTTCAGCTGTTCCAGGCGGGGCAGCTGCGAAAAAGATTCGGGCAGGCAGCGCAGACAGTGCAGCTTTACCAGGAACAGGGACTTGAGCGAAGAGAGCTTCCAGAAGTCTTCAGGTATGAATAAGATATTCAGGTCATAAAACACGCACGACTGCAGCTTGGGCAGCTCCGGAAAAGACTTCGGTAGCTGATAAAGCTTCGAACAGCTACTGATTTCCAGGTACTTGAGCGAATTCAGCTGCCCGATCGACTCGGGCAGCGCACACAGACTCTCAAGGTCAGCTAGATACAGTCGAATAAGCCCTGAGAGATGTCCAACAGCTCCCGGTAGAGCCTCCATGGCCTTTGAGGACGAGAGATGAAGCTCCTGCAGCCTTGAGAGGTGGGAGATGGAATCGGGGAGGGAGAGCAGTGCAGGCATGTGCATCAGCGCGAGGCTCTGCAGCGAGGGCAGGTGGCCTAGAGACGGACCCAGCGCCTTGAAAGGAAGATCTGTCATCACGAGACTCGCCAGGGACGGCTGTTGTGGGGACGGCAGTACCAGGGACGGCAGTTGCAGGGACGGCAGTACCAGGGACGGCAGTTGCAGGGACGGCAGTACCAGGGACGGCAGTTGCAGGGACGGCAGTACCAGGGACGGCAGTTGCAGGGACGGCAGTACAAGGGACGGCAGTACCAGGGACGGCAGTACCAGGGACGGCAGTACCAGGGACGGCAGTACCAGGGACGGCAGTACCAGGGACGGCAGTACCAGGGACGGCAGTTGCAGGGACGGCAGTACCAGGGACGGCAGTTGCAGGGACGGCAGTACCGCGTCAGCCGTTTGACTACTCCCCACGTCCCCCTCAGCTCCCTCCGCTTCCTCATCCCCCAGCAGAGCCTTGAGCCCCCCACACTCCTTCACCACAAGATGCCTCAGCCGTGGCAGCGCTAACAGAGCCTTCGGGAAACATTTCAAGCCGTCTAGATTTGAGATCCTGAGCTCTTCGAGCGCTCCCAGCCGTCCGATCGCCTCCGGCAGCTGCGTGATTCCCTTGCAGTTGCTCACCATGAGGCGGGTCAGAGTGAGCGCGAGAGCAGGGAGAGAAGGCAGGTGCGGGATGGAGGCTAGCTCGAGCTTTCTTAAGTTTCCCAAGGAGCAGAGCCCTCTGGCAGCGACCCTGTGAGGCTTTCTGCATGCTGGATCTCCAGGGTTTCGAGGGATGACAGGCCAGAGAAGGATGGAGAGAGGTGGGCAAGGGCTTTGCAGTGCACTAGACGCAGCTCCGTCAACCCCTGTAAGCCGTCCCCCATGGCGTCTGGTAGAGCACCCAGCCTCTCGCAGAGATCCACGTCCAGGCGCTCGAGGGAAAACAGCAGGACGAGGGAGTCTGGCAGCTGCTGCAGCTGCTCACACCTGAGAAGCGTCAGCACCCTCAGCTTCGCCAGTTGCCCGAGGGATTCGGGCAGGTGAGTGAGCTGTGAAATGTCGGCCAGGCGCAAGACCTCCAGGGAAGTCAGCTGCCCGAACTGCTCGGGCAGAGCTGTGACATTTCGGAGGCGGTCGAGAGAAAGTTCCTGGAGCGCAGTTGCCAGAATGATTGAACCGGGGAGGCCAGTGACAGACGGAGCATCCAGCTTGAAATTCTGAAGTCTCGATAACTGACCGACATTCTCGGGCAGCACTTCAGGTCGTGGGATGTCCAGGGAAAGGGAGGTGAGTGAAGTCAGGTGGGGCAGCGACTGGGGCAGAAAATCTATCCAAGAGCTTTTCAAAGAGAAGATCCGCAGCCGCTGCAGCTGCCCTAGAGTCTCCGGCAGCTCTCTGATTCTGAGCACTTCCTCCAGCACTAGAGCCTCGAGCGCGTGCAGCTGACCGAGATTCGCGGGCAGCGGGGAAATTGCGGATTTCAAGAACCCTCAGGGACCACAAATTGGTGAGCGAATCGGGCAGCTGAAGGGATCTGCAGCCGGCGATGGAGAGACGCGTCAGACTGGTGATCTGTCCAAGAGATTCCGGGAGCGGAGTTCCGGCGAACTGAGAGTTGATCAGCTGCAGGGACTCCAGGTGGCTGAAATTGCAGAGACCTTGCGGCAGTTCTTCTAGTGCTTCCATGTCTAGCGTGACGCTTCGGAGTGACTGTAACGAGGTGAGGGAGATGGGAAGACGAGCAACGCTTTTTGCGTCGAGGTGTAGGTACTTGAGGTGGGTGAGATTGCTGATGGACAGAGGAACGGCGGCGAGACGACGCGGACAGACCAGGTGAAGCGTTTCCAGTCGGAGGCACCGTTGGAACACGCGAGAAAGGCCATCCTCTGTGAAGAATTCGCGTGCGTAGAGCTGATCCGTGCGATCGATGCGAAGCTCGGTGAGATCGGGACACGTGTCGGCCACGCGAGCGAGGAGGAAGTCTGGGACGGAAGAGAGGCTTTCGGGAGAGAGGACGAGTTTCGTGAGCCTTGGGAATGACGAGAGGTGCGGGAGCAGTTCGCGAGGACTCATGTCACGGTCTTCGCGAATGTGCATGTGGTCGTGCACGCAACGTGCGATGCGATGCCATTGCTTGCAGACGAGTGCGTGTTCGAAGTGACCGTCGGATCGAGAGACAATATGGAGGATCCGGGAGAGCAGATCGTCTGATAGCCGTTGGATGGGCGATCCGGCTGGCATTGTGACCAGAAGCAAAGTGCTCTCTCGCGATCGATTCGGGAGAAGGGGTCAGTCGGTCGGTCTCAGGACCTAGGAGTCATACAATCAGACAGCTAAGGATTGCGAGCTTCGGCTGTTCAATCAGCAAGGTTGGACTTCAAGGAGCAGATGAGACACTGGCAGCTGGTCTCCTGGCTTTGTCCGCCCTCGCGGAAAAGCGTGCTGCAGCAAGGCCCAGAAGAAGAGGGGAGGGGAGGTGGGGGGAGGGGTGTGGTTGGAGGCACACCAACATGGGGTCAGTCAGACGCAGACGAGCGGGGGACCGTTCGATAGCAACAGACCATCGCCCGATCGACATACCTGATATGGGCCTGTCGTGACACCTGGATTGAAATCTGCACCATTCACCAAGGCAGCCATAAAGAGTCAGATCGTCAAATTTAGGGACATGTCCCAACCATTTCAACCCACCTACCCTAACATGAACAATCAGGCAAAAAACTTATCTTCCTCAACTTTAAATTACCCTAGCATGTCCATGCTCAACATACCCCATCCCCAACTCTCCATTCACCATCATTTACGTTAGCCTTCCCTCCCCTCCCCATACCTATCTTCCTCACCACCTTTTATCTACTCCCCTTCGCTATCTTCTTCTCCGACCAGCTCTTCCCACTCCTCATCTGATGCGCCCGCTCCATACTCCCCCGCCTCCAAATTTGCTGTCCCATAAATCACCACTTTGCTGGGTTGACAGCAGAGGACAGTCATGGGTCATGCATGCTTGCAGCATCGGCATGCGATGGAGATGCCGGGGTAATCTAGCCAACCTCATGCAGTTCTGCACCCGAAACTCCTCCAGCCGGGGCAGCTGCAAGAAAGAGTCGGGCAGGCTTCGAAGTTAATGCAGGCTGACCAACATGAGGTCCTTGAGGGACGAAAGCTTCCAGAAATCATCTGGAATGCGCGAGATTCCCAGATGGGAAAGAGTGCAGAACTCCAGCTTGGAAAGGTTAGGGAAGGACTCTGGGAGCCTGGCTAG